GGGATGGCGGACATAACATTCTTGTCGAACAAATACCCAAAGTATGAAAGCCTGGGGTAATTACAGTAGTAGCTACTGTAATTTGTTTCATCAGAATTTGGCAGACGGCAAAGGCTACGGTCTCGGTGAGTCAATACACACATTGGAGAGAGGCACATGACAGCACATCACCAGAGTGCTCGTCTGCACAGATTTGTCACACACCTTCACTCCGTCTCTCTGATTGGCTCGAGGGGGCTGTGGTGGTTGGCCTTTTCCAAGTTACAGTGATGCGATGTATAGACAGCCCACACTTTTAAAAAGAGTCTATTGAAGAGACCGAAAGGAATGGTAGTCAACATTTTTCAACAAGACTGCTCTCCAGGCAAGGGATGAACACAAATATGAATCATCTTATCCAGGTAATTAGAACAATTAAATATTTGACCGACTAATACAATGCACTCTTGATGGAAAAGAGTAGAGCTGCAATAAATCCTACAAAACAGAAAAAATGCGCAGGTAATCTATGCATGCAACAAAACAGTTGTTCTTATAGCAAGTCGAATAGCTTTGAAGCAGGTGCCTGCAACGATTTATTCTTCCCCATACTCAATAAAACGCCAACCTCGTAGCTGAAAATAAGGGTGCACTTCGCACTCACACACACAAAAAAAAAAAAAGGAAGAAAAGCGATCGAATGTAGAATCGTGAATTAGCACAATCGCAGGAGCTTCCTCGCTAAAAGTTGCTAAGGTTGTTCGGTGACGGAGGGCTGAAACAACTTCCCTTAGGCCCTAACGCGACGTATACATTTCGCGTAGATTCTCAGATATTTCAACGTTCAAACAAAGGTAAGAGAATGCGAAAATTTCATGTTAAAAGCACTCAGTTCTATCGATCCTCGGACACATCCCGGAATCCAAGCACCGGTACGGCGATGCAGAGCTGATGCTGTCTCACAGGCGTTAATATCCAGATGATCCAGAGCGATCTTGCGCAAAAACGTTATAAAGTCTCATTCCTTCATATTTTCACATTATACCTGCGTCAGCGAGCACGAAGAAGCCCGAAGTCGTCGGAAAGCAGCTGCACATCACGGCTACCGCGCGCCGAACAAACCCGCATCCGCCAGCTCTGGGCGCTGCCATCTTACCTGTGACGTCACGGCTCTTGGGAGGTCACGTGACGAGTGGTCACATTTGCGTAAAATATGGCGGCAACCGGGGGGGTGCCACTTCCGAACTTCCGGTTTATCACTCTAAGCCCCTCTACCTCGTTGCTCGCGCCGCAAGGCACATGACAGTTTGAACGATCGCTCACCGGATGGCGCTGCGTGTCCGCGAGGCAGCGGCTACCGTTCCAAGCCCAAAGTCAGTGCGTTGTACGCCATAGATTAAAAAATGGAGCGAAGAACGGCGTGCGAGCCTTCGCATTCACAACTCACAAGAAGTGCTTAGGTGTACCTCGAGCATTTCTTTTTCGGCTATTCTTCCCTTTCTGATGTTTTCTATTTTGTTGAAGTTGCTCTCTTTAGGCTGCTAAATGTTCTGCTCGCATTCCTCGAGTTGCTGTATTACGCTCATGTTTTTAAAAAGTAACGAGTAATTAAAGTAATCTATTACCAATATCTTGAACTGAAATTACATTACAAATCACTTCCGAAAAAAAGTAACGGGGCAATTATAAAATTACTTGGAAAAGTAAAGGATTACAAATAATCCGGTACTTGTAAGGGATTTCTTCCCAAGTCTGATTCGCACCATAGTACAGCTTCGCTGGTCTTCCCCCTTCACCAGAGAGGAAAGGCTGAAAGTATTTTGCATTCCGGTTTTTTCCGGTTTTTATCCGGCCCGCTTCGTCCCCAATTTGCGGCGATTCAGCCTGCTGCAGTGAAAGTTCGCCGGCCCCTGATACAGAGAAAAAGCACGCTGCCCGTACACCTAATTCACTGTCAAAAAATTCGATATTTGCGTGAATCTTTTTTTTTTTTTTTTTTGTTTTTGCGAGGGAGCGCATCTGGTTGGTGGTCGCCCCTTCCCCCCGCGGGGTGAGCGGGAGAGCTGGGGCCATCGGCTGGAGCTTTTTCGCGGTAGAAGGGTATGCACTTGGGCTAGTTGGTGATCCATATTTTTGAGGGTGAAAGCTCTAAAAACAACGGACAAGTAAAAGAAACGAACAACACAGAGCGCTGTTTCGCGGCCCCCGCTAATTAGGAACCGTGAGAGAGGTCCTCTTTCGAGGAGGGTGCGGCAATGTGTTTTGTCCTCGACTCGGGAGGTTTCTTTTTGGTTTGTGTCTGTGTGTCGTGTCAAGTAAATAGATGGAAAGTGAGGACCTCAGCTTGGTTTCGAGCCGAGTGAAGACAGCGTATTCGGAGACTGGACAGGGGGTGGACGCTACGCAAAAGTCGGGAGCGACAGCGGATGCGGCGAAAGGCGGAACGCGAGAAGAGCTCGGAGCGACTGTGCAGGCGCCCAAGTGTGTGTGCTCGTTAATGAGTGTGGTGCTGAGGAGCATCGCATGGAGCATCCAAGCACAGACAGACTTCCCCGTTTCGACCGGCGTCGTAACGGGCCCGCGTCACCCACACCACTCACTAGACCCCCAACCCTTACCCCATTACCGAGCTTTGGGAGAGAGCCTTGGCCAGCTCCCACCCCGACGATCAGCTACGACTGGTCGCGAGGGCCCAAGACGCGGCCCGAGCTCAAGGCATCCTGGACTAAGGACGCCTCCCGAAGCTTCTTTTGCTCAATAAAGATGTTTATTCTCTCTCTCCGGACCCAGGTTCGCTTCACTCACCCTCGTAAAATTGTATACCATTAACAGCTATTATATTGGGTTATACCTTTATTTTTTGTTTGTTTCTATGTCCAGTGTGGACGCCTTTTAAGCCTTTGCGGTGCGAGTTTTTTTTTTTTTTTTTTTATGTGTGAGTAGCGCCTGCGCGCTAAGGAGAGCAGTTTTTTTGTTTTTTTTTTAATTGGATTGTGTGTAAAAGCGCCACGCGCGAGAAGGGCAAGAGTTAGTTTGTGTTTGTTATTTTTATGCGTTGCAGTTTTGAGCGTGAGTCAAAGTAAATCGTTCGTTATTTTAACGCAACACCTCTGTCTCGTTCCTTGCCCCTCACCTATCGTCCGGTCAGCGGTCCTGAAAAAAATATAAATTTTGTTTGCATGGGGATAATTTGAATCTTTCATTTTTCCGAACCTGTGACACTCACACACAAGGGACTTTGTATCCACGTCATTCTATCAGTGCACCATTATTGTGTAGCTGGCACGTAGCCAGGGGGAAGGCCCATGGGGTCCGCCCCCCCCCCCCCCCCCCCCCGAAATCTTCCATTTTGCTGGGACGTACCTCCTCTCCCCCCCTCCCCCTTATACAGCATTTTGTCATGGGTAGGCCCCCCCGAAATAAAATCCTGGCTACGTGCCTGTTGTGTAAGAATGTTATTTGGCGACTGTTGAAATTACGCTCGATTACTTGCCCACCTTTATAAAAAAAAAAAGAAAAAAAAAAGCTTCTTGCCTTCAGACATATCTATCTTTATATTTTGTCATACCCGTATATTAAAAGACTTCGGTTAAGCTAAATGACTGATTCTTTTTTATTTGAAAAAAACACACATACACACACATAATTTGCCGCAAACCACCTCGTTCTGCAAAAGAAAACTATTTAGGGCTTAAAATCGTAATACTCATAATTCAGCCTGTCTTTTCGCGCAGTCAGTAACAATGACGAAGAAAAAATTCGGAACCTATTCTCAATAACACCGTATGAAAACCCTTGACCCCGTTCGTCTCCGCAGCATTAGAGAGTTTTAGCAGATCGTTTTTTGGCCCTGATAACGATACCTCCTCTCCGCTCCGGCAGCCTTGGGCATGCATCGTATCGTTATCGGGTGTCGTTATCGGGGCGAAAAAACGATTTGCTAAGACCCTCTATTGTCTATATAGCGGGGTCCGCCTTAACAAGATTTCAATGTAAATACAAACGTTCCCCCAGGTGCCGAATGATCTTCGATTGAAACGGCCAGAGACGCTGACTGAGCGGGCACCGACGGAGGAAGCGCGCGTTAGTTCCTTCTCTCGCCTCAAAGCTCTCACAGCTGGGGCAACATTGCTGGGGTCGACGGCGCCGTCATATCACGCGAGCGACGTGAAGGGCGACTCGGGACTCGGGGCGCCGTTACGCACCCGGTGAAAAAGTCCCTCACGGTGATGTCAACCGTAGGGATTTTTCCCTATCTCGTAGGGACGTTTGCTGTTCTAGTGCGCTTTGTGGGGACGTAGGGACGGCGCGGGGACGGTGTCTAGGGACCTTTTGTTAGAACGACTGTGTGCCTTTTTACTGCCACGTTTACTGCCGCTAAAGCTTTGAAAAGTTCTGCGTCACCGTGCGGCAACAATAGCCTTCGCCCTCTTGGCTTGCTAGCCAATCCCCGACGCATCTTGCGTGTTCTTCGGCGCCAGGAGACCATTGCGGCCTGGTGTTCCATATTTATTCCGACTGGTGTTTTTACCGCGTCCAAAAAATGGTCCCTCGATTTTCGCCTGGCGACGTAATGGTAGTGACACACTGTCGCCGGTCGCGATCCTGGCGATGTGCTAGCATCGGTGGCTGGTGTGGCAGACGCCGGTTCCGCTGCAGGTCGCTCTCCAGTTAAACAATCCACAGAAGCTTCGGCAGTCAATTGAGACGCCGTGACGACAGCTCCACGCAAAAAAATGGTTTCAAGAAGTATGGCTGCAGTAAGCGAGAGATCCGTTTCGAGCCGCAGAACTTGTCATGCGAAGAATGCGCACATCTAACTTATTTTCACGCGTTCTATTACTGTTTTTATTTAACAACCTTTTCTTGGACATCTTATATTCGTCTGCTTGAAAGCTGCGGCGCATTCTTCGCGTAATTTTTCTTTTCCTCTGCGTAGGGACAAGGGCGGGGACGTTTCGTGCCTGATGTAGAGACATGTAGGGAATAGTAAGGATGAATGTAGGGATTTTCGCGAAAAATACTTGGCATCAGAGCCGCGAACGTGGATGTCGACGAGCGTCGACCGGTTTCCCGTGCGTTTGCGGCGGCCGTTGTGGAGGGAAGTCGTCTGGTTTTTCGCGGACTGCAGTGCACGGTCTTTGTCGCAGCTCCTAGAAACAGCCGTGTATTCCGAGAATGATGCCAAAAAGAGCGCCAAGATACATCGCTACAATCTGAGGTGAGGTGAAACGCTTATCGGTGCATTCTTGGCAAATCTGTGACGTGTTTACATCGCAGAGAAAACGAGGGGTGTCGTAAAAGAAGACGCAAAAATGGCTCTCTCAGAGGCATAGCTTATTTCGGCTGTGGCAGACTGGGGGGAGGGGAGTGGAAGTTGGGTAGAGGGGGCAAGAAGGGGTTACGAACACACTCCCATACGTAAGAAGACATCCTCGCAGACTCTCACACCCACGGGCCCCCGTCTATCTGCCTAGCCATGCGAGCCACCCAGAGTGCCTCAAGTTCCGCTAATAAAGATTACGATTATTATTACCGGTTGATAATGCTGGAGTTGATGCATTCGTTCCTGCAATCGCGCGCTTGCATGCATACCTGCATACACGCATGACAACATCTATAAGCCTAAAAACTGAGGATAAAGGAAAGACGAGAGGGCGGGGCGACGTCAGAACGCCGAGCGCTTTTGGATCGACGTGTGTGGTAGAAACAATGGCAGCTAGCTTTAGGTCTACCCCCAATCAATCGAACCAGAGCTCGGCGTCCTGACGTCCTCACGCGCTCCCGTTTCCTCTTCTCTCTCAGTTTCTCGGCGCGTACATGTGTAAAAATCGCGGCTGTCAACGCAAGCAAGCGATCGTCATTCTTTCTTTGTTTTTTCTCTTGAAATGGAAAGGCGGTTACCACATCCATTGGGTAGAGTTCTGATAACAAAAGGTTCATTGAAGGCACTAACGTAAGTGGCAACCTTGATGATCGTTCATTTCCTTTCTGATGTAAAATGCTTTCAAGAGCCGATGTGTTCGAGCGAGCAGGGTCGGGCAACATAGACGCATTCATAAAGAGGTGCATACATGCATTCATAGATGCAGTCGGGGCAGAATAAGAGTTGAGTTGATGCTTTGCATCCAGTGCGCGCTTTCTACCTTTGATAACTCTTCGTCGCACGCGCAACAAACGCTCGACGGATGGCAACGAGCGCGTGCAGGAGGCAGTCTTTCCCCTGCATTCTTAACCTTTCACACACTATAGATATATATATGGGTGGTTTCATCTCAAATCGTGCAGGCAAAAAGGGTCGAATTTTTAATTTCTATGAAAAAAATATATGTTATGGCGCCGTTTTTAAAAACGCAGTCGCCGCAGACCGCAAGTTCGTCGGATTTTTTGTTCGCGACTTATGAATTTTTAAAGAGGCCGCGGCGAAAAGCAGTGTTTTTCACACCCGTCGTGGGTCGGATGTTTCGCTTGATCTCCCGCCGTGGATTTTCAGTCCACATTATATTATCTTTTTTAAAGCACTCTGTGGACACATTTAAAAGGCTCCAATACCATAAAATAATTTTAGGCGTTTTGCTTTTTTTCTGTAAAAATGTCAAAAACGCCCCCTTGGTCAATTGTTGACGAACTTTGACAATTAATTACTGGCGATCTACTTGGGTTACATCAATACTTTTTATGTCCACGGAGAGCCCAAAACACGTTCTTTATATGTATTATAAAATAACTTGGCTGTATAAAATATTCTTTGCGGTACGTTTACGTTAATGTTATGTGAAAACCAAAAAGTACCATTTTTGAAATTGATTTTCTCAAAAAACCCATTTTTTATTTTTTTTATTTTTTGTTAAAATGTAGATGTGATAGTTTTCTATGCGAAAATCAAGTCTAGAAAGTGTATATATTGTTTGTATGTTTTATATTTAAGCATCAATATCGTACAAAAACATGTTTTTACGGCACGAAATGGACTTACGAATCGCGCGTCTTCACAAGCTTGGAAATAGTTTTTTTATTTTTTTCAACGTTCCCACATAAAAATGAAATACAGTATTTCCACCCTGTTATATTTATTTCTTATTTAAATTTTATTATAGGCGGCAAGCTACATTGGGAGGAGTTCCAAAAAGAGAAAGCAACACTTCTTAACAGACCAGCAGGTGTCGTAAATTTTTAACGTGTAGGAATCGGCAGACGTCGTATTGATTCGGGGCCCTCATTGGCCTGCATGAACGTCCCGCCCTTTCGGAGCCAGCAGATGACCACGACCTTTCGCGCTCGTTGTGTTAGATGGGACGGCCCGTGACAGTAAAGCGAGCAGCGCACCCTGTGTCACGAGGAGTAAAATGGTACGATTGTGTCGTTGACGCGGCGAACAGTGACAGCCACCCAGGAGGAGTCAGTCAGACTATTGCACAAGGGAAAACAAAGGAATCGTTGCCTGCAAGGATGAGGACACCATGGCCTTACAATATCGACGGTCAACAACTGTTCTGCCAGCCAAAACAACGCCGCGTGCGCGCTAAAACCGGCGGCGCGGGACAGAAATCCCACAGACGCACCCACGAAGATGGGCCGGTTTCGTTAGGGATGTGGGGAAATTTGAAACCAGCCATCCGTGCATGCGTGAAACGATACCGCCTGTTTGCCCCAGCTTCGAGCGCCCTATCCTTACCTTGAAACGGTCGTGCTGTCTCTCTCTCTCCGGGGAGATCCGATAGCACCGAAGGGTTATCTATTAAACTTGAGGAAGAAAACGAGAAGGGGCTGTTTAAGTTTAATTATCCCCACCAACCCGCTCATTCTGTCCTTATAAAGGGCTATCTCTTTTGGAAACAGCAAAGCCCGGAGACTGACATTAAAACGAGCGTGTTGGTAAATATACTTGTGTTTGTATTTTGCCCGGAGACTAGTTGGGTCGAAGTCAGCCTCCTTGTCAACTATAACCGTTTGTGAAGAGTGGGCTTCTCCCGAGATGAAAAGTCAGCGCCGGCTGATGTGCTCTTTTGAAAAAGGGATGGGGAAAGAGAAAGTTTGAGTAACTGCAGAAACTACCTCGAAAGCTCCTCTCCCGATATGAAGCTTCAGGCATAGTCTCGGTTACCTTCTCGCGCATCGCCTGCTCGAATCTATTCTTCACTTTCTTTCGCACAGCCACTGTTCCTCACAGCCGTCGTGGATGTGCGTAACAGAGGGAAAAACAGATTCGAGCATCATCTGGACGCCGTCCTCCTGCCAGAGTTCAGTGTCGTGGGACCGACTCGTGTGTGTTTCTTCGCCCCGCTGAACTTAGTTTCTCGGGTGCGTTTTTGAACGTTTTTTTTTTTTTTCAATGTTTTCTTACTAACTGTTTGTTAGCACTGTTCAGTTGTTGGGTTTATTTTGTCATGGCGTAGCGGCCTAGGCGATGATGTAGAGAGCGTGTTCGCACGCATTTGGTTGCGTCCCATTTAGGGAATGCCCGGAGGAGTTGGTTTATCTTCTTGCCATGTGCGGCTGAGTTTTCCCGTCTTTATTAAATTATTGATTTTTTGTTTGTTTTACCTTTACGTGCCGTCGACTTCTTTGTCTGACTCTCCACCAGGCATGGACCTATCGTCTTGCCACCACTCCAACCTAAATACTTTATTTTTTTAACGCAATTTTCGTTAAGATCGCAGTTGGGCAATTTAATTCCTATTTATTTATTTTTATTTCCTACCCCTCTCCATGACACACTCTCTGTGTGTTTCGGAACGTTTCTGTGTCACCACTTTTGTGTATTACGGAAGTGAAAGGACATTCCCTGGTGACCTGTGCGATGTGCGGTGAACAAACCCCCAGTGTTTGGTTTCGGAAAGAATTGTATATAACATATCGACGGATGTGGTGACTTTCTTTGTCTCAGTAATATGACAGCTATTAGCTAGTCGTGCTGGTTTACTGTGAAAGATTTATAAATCGAAACAATACAACGTCTGTGCCTTTTGGTTATTCAAAGTCTACAAGGCCTGCTGATTTGGTTAGATATGTATCTCGTGGTTCCCGCTCTTATCAAAACATACATAAATATTCAATACCACAAAATTCTTTTATAATTGATTACAAAATGCAGAAGAAAATTCAAGAAAACTTTTTCACAATTCATAGAGACGGATGGGTCGGAATGTCTGACTTGGGTCTTGCAAAACAAAGACGTTTTTTTCCGATATTGAGGCCTAAATATAAAACATACAAACAAAATATACACTTTCTAGACTTGATTTTCGCGTAGAAAACTATCACATCTACATTTTAACAAAAAATAAAAAAAATAAAAAATGGGTTTTTTGAGAAAATCAATTTCAAAAATGGTACTTTTTGGTTTTCACATAACATTAACGTAAACGTACCGCAAAGAATATTTTATACAGCCAAGTTATTTTATAATACATATAAAGAACGTGTTTTGGGCTCTCCGTGGACATAAAAAGTATTGATGTAACCCAAGTAGATCGCCAGTAATTAATTGTCAAAGTTCGTCAACAATTGACCAAGGGGGCGTTTTTGACATTTTTACAGAAAAAAAGCAAAACGCCTAAAATTATTTTATGGTATTGGAGCCTTTTAAATGTGTCCACAGAGTGCTTTAAAAAAGATAATATAATGTGGACTGAAAATCCACGGCGGGAGATCAAGCGAAACACCCGACCCACGACGGGTGTGAAAAACACTGCTTTTCGCCGCGGCCTCTTTAAAAATTCATAAGTCGCGAACAAAAAATCCGACGAACTTGCGGTCTGCGGCGACTGCGTTTTTAAAAACGGCGCCATAACATATATTTTTTTCATCGAAATTAAAAATTCGACCCTTTTTGCCTGCACGATTTGAGATGAAACCACCCATATATATATATAAGGAGCGGGCGACACGTAAAGTGGACGCGCCGCTCTGTCTTCGCACCTAGAGCCGTTTGCACCTGCTTGGTCGCGCCAGCAACACCGGTATCGGCATGACGCCGTGTGGAGGTGCGCCGCCCGCAGCGCGCACTTTGTAATGCAATGAATGTGTTCGTCTTGGCCGCGTCTTCACGCAACCGCGTGTTTCTCCATCTCCGCCCGGAGTAAAGGTTTCCTACCCTGATATTCCAAAACCTACCCGCTTCCACCGTTGCTTCGCATATGTTTTCATGTGGTTTGACCCGCATGACTGCCAAGAGCTGCGGGCTCAATTCTAAAAGCGTCAACGACGGTAGCACGCCGC